TCATACAAATATCTGTTAGATTATTTCGATTTGAAAATTTGCATAGAAACAAATCTTAACCCTTAAGAACCCAATGTTCCTTCGAAGGGATAGTCTGCCTCAAGAAAAAATTGAAACAAAGAGATTTTGACTTATAAATAACTCATATACTATTTAGATTACAGTGAAATTTTTCAATAAACAACTATTGTTTACTCTTGGAAATACAGCATGTTGAAGAGAAGTTGGATTTTATGAGTTTTTTGGCAAAATGTTGCCGATTTTTTTTCTATGTTCAATATCTCAAGAACAAAGTATCAGTTTTAACTGAAAATTTCAGAACAATTTAAGAATTATATAATCTGATTAATGGCAAAATTTCCTCTTAAGGGCATTATGTAAATTCTAGATTAAGAACAAAGTATGAGTGTACTAAGAATTCATCAGTTCAATTTTTATGGTTGTTTTTTTTCTGTTGCAAGAAAAACCTTCCTTGGACTTTTAAGAGTTAATAAGAAGTTTTTTTGTTTTTTTGTGAAAGTATTAGTTGTTATAGCTATATTTTAGAATATGAAGAATAAGAAGAATTGAAACTTTCATAAGAAATCATTCTTATAAAGGCTTGTTCCTATGCAAAATTCAAAAATCAGTTTTTCTCTTAACATATTACTCATTAAAAAAAAATATACGTAGAAGTATAGCAATAAGCTAGAGGTTTTTCGCAAGAGAATTTCATAGCAAGACCAATAAATCTAATTTACCATATTATCTATATATATTAAGGATTACTAAATTGACATGCTTGAACAAATTTCAGGTTCTACCAAAGGTAAGAAAGGATTCCTATTGATATGAATCAAGTTAATTTCATCTTCAATGTTATTGGAACTATCAAAATTGAACTATTTAAAAAAAAAGAAAAATCTCCAAAAATCTATTTATTATATAAATAAAGATAGATAATTTCTTGTTCAAATGAAAAATATTATTATTTATAAGTTTTATAGTCTAAAGTATAATTTTAAATGAACTTAAGAAAAAAAATAATCTATTTAATTCATACTTATATTTGAAACAAATATTTCTAATGCTTTATCTTGTAAAAGATATCGTCTTGAAAATATAGCTCGTATTTCATTAAAATGCCATTTTCCATGAATATTATCAATATAAGGAAACATCTAAAAAAAATAGAATATATATATGATTTTTAATAATTTATTAATTTTACTTTTGAATCAATTTTTATATAACTTTCATCATATTCATCAGCATCAAATAACATAGCATTATGTGTC